AGAATATAAATAACAATAACAATATATATATCTAGTGGTGGAAACTGCATAGGCAAATATACATATGCCTACAGAAAATCAAGAGTCAAATGGTATCAGATATGCCACAAAATTAGTAGAAACTGTTTCCTGCTATGATTACAATACCGGTACCGGTATGATTAGCAGACCATTAGCCTAAACAGTGATCGAACCTTAGGGCTAGTGGGTAGACCCATACCGAGCTAATATAGTGTGTATGTATGCATATAATGTAGGCCTATGTGTGTACCAACTTCTCACAACCCATCACTTTAAAATTATTGACTAAAAAACATGTTTCTTTCAGTGGTAGCATTCTTTCTCATAAAAGAAAAAAAAAGACGTGAAGCCATAAGCTTAACCCAAACCAATCCTCAACCAAGTATAGAGTGTAAAGTCAGAGGGCCACGGGAAGCAGGAACTGACACATCATCAATACAAGATGAATACACAGAAAACGCCTACAGTGTTTGTAACATTGAAAGAGAACAACAAACATTAAGCTCAGATAATATCACTCACAAACCAACAACATATTACAAGAGGTGCATTGCAAAGGCGGAATTATGGAGCAAACAAACAAGTTTAGAGAACTATGATCAGCATTCATTTGCCTGTCCCTTTTTTCGTGCCGGCATCTTTGACAAATATGGCGGAGAGTTACATTTTGATGAAGCTGGAGTAATGCTATTGGTACCACCTGGTGCCATCCAACAGTCGACACCTCAACTAATTTACATATATTTACATCATGAACAAAATGAAATTTTACCAATCCCGCCAAACATGATGGCGACGAGTCCAGTGGTGTTTTGTGGGCCATCCGGAATGGTGTTTGACCAAAGAGTTCTATTATCGTATCAGCATTGTGCAAATATTAAAAATAATAACACGAATTTGATAACACTGCGTACGGAAACTGAACCCGACCAGTCACCAAGTTTTCACAACTTATCAGAAGACAATGATTCGATTACCCTTATAAAAGGCAACACGGTGACGTTAATGTTGTCTCATTTTACTGGACATACTAGTGTTGTACAATGTGAAGAGGAAAAAGAAACAGTGATACATGAAAAATGGTTAAATTTGATGTTGTTTTCGTCACAAATAAATGATGATGATTACGATTTACAACTTCGTCTATATTGTGCCAATCAGACCGAAGATGCTCGATATGTGGGTTTTTTGTTTTATATTCGATTTTGAATAATTTCTCAGATGTGCTTAGAACCCATAGAGTACTACTGTAGGCATGTATTTGTATATATTTAATATTTCATATATCTTATATTATAATTATTGCTATTGAACTCAATACAATCATGATTTTGCCAATGTGTCCGTCTAATACACCTGTCCTTCATGTAAATCTGACTTAAAAACTTACAAATCAAACGTTGATATTTATTAGACAGGGATGTACGCATGTCTCACAACCAAGCAGGTTTTGTACGTTTACGGCCCCGCCTAACAGCAATATCCTGGGGCTTGACTCGGCAGAAATAATTATGTGACAGTCAAAATTAAGAAAGTGCGCCGAAGCTTCCACTATTAGAGCATGGAGAAAATAAAATATAATTATTTTATTTTCTCCATGGTTAATGTTACATGTTTATGTATTTACTGGGTTTGTTATATGTTACATGTACACTGTATCTGCCGAATATACACAATATAATGATTAACCTGCATGTTACGTTTACAAACTGCCACCTATTTCCCAATAACAGAAAGGGCAAGTTAATTACTAATACTCCTGTAATTTCAATTTTCTGTGGATGTGTTATTCTCTTTTGAAAGATTGTGTTGGAAGATGAGCGGCTCTTGGAAGGTTCATTGCGTTCCCCTACCTTCCCGTTTCTTTTTGCAAGTATAAGCGATATAAATGTTCTCCTAAACTCGGAAGGAAATTGGAAAGTACGTGGAGGGAAGACTAAACAGGTGAGATGTTGGATATAAGAGTGGGGTAGTGGTGTAGTATTTAGTATGCTCGCCAATTCCATTTCATTTATTTCGTCAATTTCAATATCATGAAACAGACAAACAATTACAAAAAAAAATAAACAAGCATACAAATAAAACTAAGAGGAAAGCTTAAAAAGAAATCCTCAAAAAGTACAAGGAAATATATTGCAATTTACAATTAATGGCCTGATGGAACATGGAAAATTATTCCATCAATTTACTTTGATAAAGTTGGCTGTGAAACCCCTATAGCTTAATAATGGCTATAATAAAATATTTAACGAAAACTCCTCTAAATACTATAGAGAAGTAATAAGTGCGTGGTCATTGGCTGGTGGACGGAAAACAAGAGAACATCAGGAATCTTAAATCTTGTCAGAGGCGCTGCAACATGCGCTGGTTCGAACGGCCCACACACCATGTTCTGGAGGTGGAACAAGTCTTGCTCATATATGGACTATAAACCATATCGGTCCAGTGAACACGATTGCACTTTAAACACCCCAGTACATTTATCGAAATGAGTAAGGGGTGACCCCAATGTACTGGTCCATACATCCCGTGTTGTAGAAAGACGAGAGTTGCTGGTACCGGTTTACCGGGTAGCTCAGACACGAATAGAACATTAGAAAGGGTTACTGAATGAGCTAGTCCAAGCTTCCAGGCTGGTGTATAGCGCTATATCCAACTATTTTTAAAAAATTATTAACAGCGTAGTAAGTCTAGTTTATTATTATTATTTGAAGAAGATGAACATGATTTAAGCTAAGACGTACTTATATTTGAATGTTGAATGAAATTTGCAAGTTAAATTTATAATTGTACGTGTCACCGAACATTGCATCTGCCTTGGATATTGGCGGTGTATAAATTTCTGATTGATTGATTGAAATTACTATTGGTCAATAATGCAAAACAAAAATAAATCCCCTGATATAGCGTTCTAACGCAAATAATATCCCATCACATTTTTTTTTCTGTTAGGTACTTGCAAAGAAATGTATATTGGAAAATTCTTATACTCCATGTGTGTATCACCTTGAACATGACAAAGGGAATACTGTAACAAAATTTGCAGGTCAGATGCATGTTTCTCAAGATGGACGAGAGGAATTATTTGGTAAAATAATTGATGTCTTGGTGAAACAACAGGTAGGCCTAAATGCTATTTTACAAAATGGTTTGAAAAGGTCATCGATGTTCCGAATTTGCTGGCTACATAAAAATGCACTTCCCCCAGAAAAAAATAAATTGCATCTTTAAACGATAATTCTAACAGTTGGTAAATACAATGGATAGCCTAGTTGACCACGTAGTATAATTTAACAACATACACAACATAACAATTATATTATGATGTTTTTAATTATTTTGAAATCTTCATTGCTGATCACTATTTATCAAATAGAAGACTGTGTACCCTATAATGAAAGAATTGCTTCTTTTGTTGCCTTAAAAAATGAAATTAATAGTCTAGTTGACAAAGTATAGCCTATTGATATATTTAATTTTGTGATATTTTGAAGATTGTAAATTGTTTATAAGTAATCGATATCAATTTCTTTTTTATTTCAGACAATATCATATCAAAACAAATACAAAGCAAATGAGATTGAAATAATAATTTAAAAAAAAAACAAATACTGTACACAATTCGACCATACTGAGGCTTTTGTCTCAGGCTTACATTAAATCGCAGATGCATAAACCAAAAATAGGCATGCCTATTTCAATGGCTGAATTGATAATAATCGTCTTATTAAATAATTCTATTTTAACATCTTTGAATTTCCAATAAGATAATTAACAGTGCATTTTATCAGACTGTTTTATGTTAAAGTCGGTACATAAATCCATATACCAATATATTTATTTAAATATCTTTACTTTAACCTCTTGTTTTTGTTTTTTTTTTTTCAGCGAAGAATAACTACAGAGTCATTTGTGCGTAGACGTCTTCTACTGCCTTACCCTCTTCGTGAATGTATTCGAGAGATGTTAGATATACATAACACTTTTGGAAACGACTGGAGATATTTAGCATATTCACTAGGCTACGATGATTATATTCAGCAATGGGAAAAACAACAACGTCAGGGTCTGATTAACAGCCCTACCAATGAACTGTTGAATATATGGGAAGCTAACAGGTCAGGAAATCCAACTGATCTTAAAGATTTAACAGATATATTTAGAAGTATGCAAAGATTGGATATCGTATCAGAAATCGGTAAATGGAGCATAATCCATGAATCCCTACTGTGAAACAAACAAACCTTTCTAAAGTTAAAAATGTGTGTATAGGTATGGCATGTATGTATATATCCTTAAATCTTCTTATTTGCTTTCGTTTTCTGCATTGTTAATGTTTTGACTTGAATTTTAAACTGTAAGAACTACATAGTCTGAGGGCTGGTAGAAATTTGGTTTGGTTGTTTATTTGGCATTGTGTTATTAATGCTTTTGCAATTTTTTCAATTTATTTTTCCTTTTCGAATTTGTTTTAACTTTGACGTTCGTATTTTAAAATGTTTGGACCTATGGTGTGGAAAGGGAATATTTTCCTGATCAACCGTGCTTCTTGTTTTCCTAATAGTACATTTAATGTGAGTACTATAATGTTTAACGTTGCTTTTGTAATATAAGGAATAATTTGAAAGAAACATACGGAGCTCAAATCAAACGTTCCTATCTAGCACGACGCATGCTCATAGTTAGGACATTGCTTTGTACTTCTTGTTAATCTCTGATTTTTTATTTGTCATGTATTGATTTTATTACTATTTTTGTTTTCGTTCCTTGGACGCACCGTTACGTACATGTGCCGTTTCCAAGTAAAGAAAAATTATACTGTTTAATTGGCTTTAAGGTCTCTCCCCAAGTTATAGGTCACACCTTGTATATTACTTGGCTAGTTACAAACATCAACACGCTAGTAGCACTTAAAGTAGTCTACATTTACTACGGTACTGGTTATGCAACAGGTCCAAACTGGAAGGTACTGTATTTAAAAAATAATGTTTTCCTATTAACTGTTTCATATTTTTTAACAAAAAATAAATGACGTTTAGGGTTATATTTTTATAATGTTAATACATGTTTTTTTTTATCACACCACAGTACAATATGTTTTGCATCACTCTAACACAGTTCTGTTCATCGATTTATATATTGTGAATAGAAGTCGAAAATTTATATTTATTTTGTTGTTTCTGATCCAACATGAAGGAACTCACTTGCTGGACATAAATGATGCTCATTAAACCAAGGTCACATGAGGTTTAGGTGGTGGAGTTATTTTTAGTCATGAGAAAAATGTATCAACCCATTCAGGAAAAGATTCATTGAATAGATCTGCATTTCTATCGTCTTCCGAAACAATTTCACCGTTTGCGCCCTTTAAACTAGGGATACGAGGTCTACTTTCAGTTTATCTCTTAATACGTTTCTAAAATTGTTTGGATTTATTTCTACCTCCTTAAAATTAGTTTTGAATGATATTTTTGCTTGTTTTATTGCTGCTGCTGTTTTATTTCTCTGTTTAATGTATTCATTCCACGTTTGCTATTTTTTTTTGTTTTATATCTATTGCAAAGCGTGTGTTTTAATTTAATGTCTTTACTTACTACTGCGTTCATCCACTCTTTTCTATTAACTAATCTCCTTTTACGCGAGAGTAATTTTTTGCACAATTATATAGAAAAAAATAATTTCGATATGCATATACTCCAGATTCAAGTTGACAATATCACGTATCTCTTCCTTATAGACTGATAATCTCCAATATAATAGTTTCCAATTCTAAGAACCGCACCTAAATACTACATTCTCCGTAGCAACAGTTTCGGTCAAAAACGCGCTTTGGTAATTGTTGAGTATCACCAAGTCCCCTTCTCCATTGCCGCTCTTTGTTTCAAAACAGTTCGCATGTCTTTAAACTTCGTCCTTTATGTCGAGTCCTACCTCTTGAAACACCACATTATCTCTCAATTTATTTACACATTTTAAATGCAACTTTTAGGAGTGTAACCTTCCCACCCCTCTTGCCCAACCGATGTGCTACGATTTCAAAATCCACGTCAGTAAAGGAACTATTAATTATTCCTTTAAGCATGTTAGGATCATTTTTCTTTTCAAAGAATTGAGCATCATCCTCCTTCGATTCATCAACAGCAAAAATTATATTTTCTTCTCATATCATATGTGCTATGAAATTCTTAATTAAAACAAAACAGCTAAATGATGAAAATATCAACCATTTTAAAGTATTTTAATATTGATTGTTACTGATGTGAAATAATTAAATTATTAGTAAATAATTGATTTAATGAGCCATTGGCGAATAATTTTATATTGTTGCAATCTTTCTTGAACAGGTAAAAATAATCTATCCAACATGAACCAATTTTTACTGACTAGCAACAGCAGGTTTCTGTGGTCTACAGGTAAAACACGCGCCTTGTTCTTAAAATCCCATTTAGACTTGAAAGGTTAACTGGTACTTCCAGAATGTTAAGACACAGGCTAATTTGAAATTAGGTTTAACGAGATTCAAAACAGAAAGATCAGCTTTGCGTAAGTAGCGACGGAATGGCAAAACGTCATCAGACAGTACAGTACTTGTTGTATACCGCCTTAGCTGTACCATGGCCATTCCTCCATGGTTGTATTCAGTTGATAAAGTGTGTCTTTTAAAAAACACATACTGTATTGATGTTTGGAGTTTTTTGTTTTACTACTGAATGTGTACACAATTTTGAAGAGAAGTTTAAAGGGAAACCGAACAAAAAAGACTGGAGAAAGGACACGCATCTTTACAACATGAAATAAATCGACTTGGCACCACTGTTATAACTAACTGTATGTTTATTTCTTGGAAGCTTTGACGACAGTTAGCAATAGTTTGAGTTGAAGAAGGTAGTGCAAGTAAATTCATGTATTAATATTAATTTTGCATATGAATTCATAATCATACTAACATACAACTTTAAAGTGTAACCAAAGCTCTATGAAACGTTCCAATCAAATAAAAATTACATTTCAATTTTTAACAATGGGCTCTTCCATAAAAACATCCATGTGTAAGGCCTAAAGAAAACATAAATCTGAGTTTTATGACTTACAATGTTTATTTAAATTTTCACAATAAAAAATAAACAATAGTTTACTTTCTTAATTAACTTATTAATGTCTTAAATATGCACCTAGCTATAGGTAAATACTGTAGTTAAAAGTGGAATTTTTTTATAAATCTTTTCAAATCAATTTTAAAAAGTTAGTCTACACGATTATTTTCTGTTTTACTTATATACAACTTCAAATTTATTATATTATGTATAAATAAAATTGTTTATATAAAACATTATTTACTAAAACAAATCTGAGAAACTGTACAATTTGTTAACCATCAAAATTGATGAAATATGCTTTTGTTATAATTCATACTATAAATTCATCAACTGCATCTTGTTAATTAAAAATATATTAAGTAACCCTAATAATAGATGAAACAGACACGCAATAAAATAGAAAAGATTACAATTTAATACAATTATTAATCCTAAAAATAAAAAAATACATTTTCTATTACCATAATAAACATATTATTATTATTATTATTGCATTATTATTATTGCAGCAACATGGAATTTAGAGACTTTGTAGTCCACTAGATTAATTAGAGCAGCAAATGTATAATTGAATCAGTGGTGTATCTATGAGTACTAGCAGAATGGGGAAAGGTCTAATGGAGGGAGCAAAGGATAAGTGAGGTCCTTAGCTGGCAAAATAATATTAGGTAAATTTTAACTTCTTGTGTGCAACCTTTTTCCTTCATTTTGCTCAGCGAATTTCTTTGGGAAAAGTAGTAGGTAGATGGTAATGTAGTTAATTATTTCTTTTCAATACTGTACTTTTTTTTGTCAATAGTGAATTAAAGTTGAAATACCTGCACAGTAAAACAACATACATACAAGTGATAACTTTAGCATTATTCGGTATACAGCTGAAATTCCTATCTGTAGAACAAAGTATTTAAAGGGTCATATTATCATATCAAAAATATTAAAACTAGTGTAGTACAGTAATTGCTTATTTCCTTATGTAAAAAATAACATTACAGTAAAGCATACAGGGTCAATATGCATAAGTGACAATTTTTTAAATACATTATACCTTATGACATATTAAATAAAACTACACTTGTACTTATAGAACATCTGAGTTTTTTCATTTTATGTGTTATAGTTTTATGGGCCAAAACATTCTACTGCGTCGTGCAATCTAAAGCTCCCTATCGTGGACGACACATGTCCATGGGACTGTTCTGATGGGTTGCTGTGTAGTTTCATTGAATGAAGTTGTTAAATGAAGATGTTTAGTGATTTTCTTTTGTTTCTGAAAGTGGACAATTTAGCTCTTATGTGTGTAATCATCATCTTTTTACATTTTTAAAAATATTAATATAGATAAGTAAAGGTTCTCAAATACAATACATTAATCAGTAGTAAAAATACCTTTATTTTCTTATAATATTGGTGATTACAATATGGCATGCCATAACTTCAGTAAAGTAGGCCTACCTGCTAAAGTACAGTATTCAGAGTAAATTGCTTTACCAACAGCAAAGCAGGTAAGTACTTGCAGTTTCAGTTATTTTAGACAAATTATTTACCTTAAGCTTAAAAATTAATTACTTTATGGAAAAAAAAAAACTACTGAACTACCTACTAAAACTAATGGACCTTTCCGCTAAGTCCCACCCCTTGGATATTGTTGCTAAGGTCACAAAAAATGCATTTTGTGGGAAAACACATGCTTTTTAATTTAGGCACTCACTGCATCGTACGACCGTCACAAGACGCATCCCACTCTGCTCCCTGTGAACGCTAGTCGACATGATGCCGTCTATTGATTTTCGGTGACAGTCTGAACGGATCGTCAGTAAAAACAACCCGTTGCACGTGCGTAGTCACGTTGTGATCTTTATAGAATCGTGTCGGCCGACGACCGTCGGACGCAATGAGTGCCCGGCTTGAGAAACGCTCATATATTCCTGGCCCTGTTCTGATTGGTCAGTTGTAAATTTTGATTGACACTCGGTTTTTAGGCACAGTCGGTTAACCATACGAGCTTCCATTTTTTATGGTCTGTGTGAAGTATTGTAGGTCTTGCTATATTTCAGAATACAGAATCTTTATATGTCCAAAATAGGAAAATTATTTTTGTCGACAAGCTCAATAAAAACACATAACTTTCAATAAACAGTTTACATATGTAAAAATACACAGAGCTAAAAGGTATCACAGTAGTTGTGCACTATATTACTATATGAAACTATTATTTAAAAAAAATTAATTAAAAAGTTAAGTTAATAAACATTTACAAACTTTTCCTTAATAATGAAATATAATCCAATTAGTTCAACAGGTGTAAAAACATTGTACACAGAGAGTGATTTATATCTTAATAATAATTAAACACTTACATAAAAAAAGTACTTAATATAATACTTAAAGAAATTTAAAAAAAAATAGGCTTAGAAAAATATAGTGATATAACCAAATATTATTTAATTAAATACATTTTGCATAATTAAAAACTGAAATTTACATAATCAAGCCATTCATGGAAATATACCAATTTTTAAAATAGCCTCTTACTTAGAAGTAGCTCCAACACCTTGTTGGGGCAAAACCATTTTAAAAAGTTATTTGGCTAATTATTATTGAGCATCTACTTCCAGCCAAAATAAAACTAGATGTTCAATAAGGATAATTGGAAGCCAACTGGAAAAAATATGCTGTTTGACAGTACTTACAAATAATATAAGCATATAAGGTAAGATGAGCTCCACTGTATCAGTAACCAACCATTAAAGAACTGAATATTTCTAATACCATGATTAATTTTAGAAGTACGATTTAAATTTAAGTATAATGATTATTATTTTTCCTTTATTTCAATTTACATACCATCAGTAACAGGATGGAGTACAAAACAATATTTACAATTTTAACATACAGGTACAAGCATTTTTTGTAACATTGACTCTAGCAAAATCAACATAAATTAAAGACTGTACTAAATTAAATTACTGTACTGTCTTGAGCTCAGGGTTAGTAGATTTATATTGGAAGGAGTGGGGGCAATGCAAGCACATGAGGTAAACTTAATAAAATGTTTTTAAAACAGATCAATGTTTAGAGGCCTATGTGGCAGACATACTGGTAAAGATAACAGTGCAACATACAACAGTAATTACTTTATTATTATTATTATTATTTCAGGTATATTTATTCAGAAAAAAATACATTCACTTCATAAAAGAAATATGCAAATGCATACATAGTAAATATAATTTCAAATTCACTTCACATAAAATATAAAAATATACAAATACATACATATTAAATACAATTTCACATTTACTTTATAAAAAAAAAAAACATTTAATTTATAAAAAAAAAAAAAAAAAAAAAACAAGAAAAAAAACCCAAACAAATTAAAATTTGGAAACAGTTGGCAATAAAAATTGAATTGTAGGCAACTGGATTAAAATTACATTACAAAAAATCAGAAAGGTTAAAATTTAAGAAACATTAAAAACTTTAACTCAATCATCATCAAATTAATCATCATCATTTGTTATGACATAAACCAGTGCCCTCTGTGGCATGAATGTCATTGTCATGGCATTGACACAGCATCCAACCTCATTTTGTGATTTCTCTGCACTACACTCAGAATCTATTTGCATGTATGTTTGTTTATAAAAGAAACATGTCACTACAATAATCCAAATCAATATTCACTCACCTAATGTACTCTTTAATAATAGGGAAGTAATAAAAATCATGACAGATGAAAGCAAATTAGACTTACTATGTCTGTTATAGGGCTTTTTCCTCATTGTCATAATAATGAAGTGATGTTATAAATACAAGAAAAGTGTTTTTAAAAATCATTAAAAAAGGATAAAAAATACAAAAAAAAATTATAAGGTAAAACATGGCAAAATATGGCTACAGTGTTAATAGTGAGGGTGATGTTGAGAGCTTTTACCATTATGCTAAAGATACCGACCCTGTGGAGGTCAGTGCATTTTTAATTTGTTTATCTTGTGAAATGTTATAAGCAAAGGGTGAAAATTCTTCGTGCATTTCACAGTAAGTTTTAAAACAATTTAGAAAACACAAATGGCTTTTCTGCTAATGCAAAAAGGCCCAATAATAAATGATAATAGCAAATGACTTATAATCAGTGTTTATCCTGTAAAAAAACATTCCTTCACACACAAATACACACACAATGACATGCCCTCAACTACACACTTTAAGAGGGCTTATTGCTGGAATTGTTTGCATTGGCAACATCGTTTACTGTTAATTCGCCAATGCTTCTGTTGAGTTCGGACATATTGCTATTACAATTTTGATCATAAAATACTTCAGGCGATGTTCGTTGGAAGGCAGGCAGTTCAGATTCTCGATCTGGGGTTATGGCAATGCTGGATGAAGAAGATGACGTAGACATTTTGGATAAATCAAATTCCTCTGGACAGGCATTCCTGCCAACTGGTCTTTCTTGATTGATAACTAATGACTGGTTTGGTAAACCTGTTGGTGCAATATTATTTCTTGGAAGCGCATCTAGGGAACCAATGGCAAGAATTTGTTGATTTGAGCTCTGCTTTGTTTTGTCAATGTAATCCTTGACTAAGTTTGCAGCATCAGAACGATCAATATCATTGAAACGTTTCACCAGCATATCCAGTGTTTCATTTCTTGACTCCCACACATTTAATAAATCTAATGTTGGAGACTTCGACCTTGCATCTAACTTTCCAATAATATTATCTAGATTAAGATTACTTGCCAACCTTCTCCAGTCATCTCCAAGAGGATGATCAGTATCTAGCTTACAGCAAAGTTCCATCCGAAGTTTATGGGGCAGTTTTGGTAATGACATGTCAGGTAAATTTACATTTTGAAGCATATTTCCTTGAGAGTCATGTGGACAAGACATTTGTCTTGGCATCACATAATTATCATTTTGGGTATTTGGGGGAAGATTGGAAGAGTGAGAATGGAAATCACTGGAGTAAGAAGATCCACCATGGTATCTTTCTACTAAATATGAGCCAGACAGACGATAAAAAGATGTATGGCCACTGTCAGTGCTCAAAGGTTGGTTCCCTCCATTTTCAACCATATAAACTGAAGGAGGTCCCCTGAGAGGTTCTGCAGGTGCATTCTGGTTAGACGTGTCTATTGGATGCTATAGAATAAAGAGAAAAAAGACATCAAATAACATTAAAAGCAAATTAACATTTTGAAAAAACCCCAAAGACACATTTTCTTTGTGGATCTCTTTTACAAAGAGTACGTATTTCTGATAGTGCCTTTCTAGATTTTCCACCTTTCTTTTAGTGTCTTTTTGGAAACAGTTTGAGCCCCCATAAATGTCACAACCCAGATCCGCCCCCTGCTAGGGCATTTTGTCATAAAAGTCTGACAAGAACAAAACCATATTGTTACACCATTTAGTAGGGGTAGGGTATTTTTTCATCTCGTACGAGTTCAATATTCCTACTGTACACACACACACACACACCCCCACCCCCCACACACAAACACAAAGAAACACTTAAAATTTCAAATCCCGACCTGTCTATTAGAAGCTATGTTAAGCATAGTGATTAAAAAAAAAAGAAAAAAAAACTAACCTTGACTGTATTTGACACTTCTAATGAAACTTCTTCTTCACAATCAATTTGCTGTATAGAAATATTGCAATAGAAGCTGCGCATTTGTCCAATGTTTTTAAAAGTATATTTGCAGCTCCCATAATCCTTCCTCCATAAGTTTTTTAAAAACTGTGATAAACAATATTATTCAACATGATTAAAAGTAAAATAGTAGTAACAAGATACTATAATGGGATTACAAAAAAAAAAATCAATATTGCCATTGAATTCAGGATCTAGCAACTTAAATTATTTTTAGTATAGACTTAGTTCATTCCCAGTTCAAATGCAATAAAAATAATATTTTAAAAATATTACATTTTTTCTGGAGAATGATTTCAAGAAGTTATGAGGAGCCTAAGTTGTGATACTTATCTAGGGCCCCGTTCTGCAATTTTTTTAGGCCATGGCCAATTGAATCCAGAGGCTAAGTTGTGATCCATAATTGACTCCAGGCCAACCAAGTAAATGGTTGAATATAGCATAATATATTTAAGTCCAAGGTTTTGGAATTGGATTTATTAGGTGTAAACACCAAGGATAGCCCACGAAAGTCTAGAAGACTTATTTCCAGTCGGGTCCTTCTGGTGGTGATTGGGCAGTACACCGGGAGACAATCCCATACTCTTTTCCGAAGAGTGTACTGCATTCTTTAACGTGCACACAGGCCACCAATGCACACGGGACCAACGGCTTAAACGTCTCATCCGAAAGACGGTGCGCTATTATGACTTGTATTTCAGCCCTTCACCAGAAATACAAGGAGGCAGCGATAGGAATTGAACCGGGGACCTAGAGAACTCCACGGTTCAGCGCACACACAGTGGCTACCACCAGATTAGCCAACTGAGGTAAGCTGCTCTCTGGTGGGAGGAAGACCATGGGTAGAGGAAGGAAAAGAACAAGATTACTTCACAGACTAAAAAATGGAAAACAAATATTATGAATTAAAAGAAAAAGCACTTAATAAGAGTGGAATAAGATGACATTGACCTGCCAACTGGTAGATGAGAGTAGGTAATTGCTTTAACGACCATGCATAATCTTAAATATACCTGTTCTTTTTTGCGTGTCTTCATGTGCCAGCCTGTTTCAAACTCTATACTAACTTTCAAGACTACTTCTGGTTTCTTAAAAAGCTCAAATTGGAGCTCAACTGCCATCTGAATCCCAGCAAGGGCCTTCTCTTCCTTTTCAACTCTCTGTGATAAAAAAAAAAGAAGAAAATATATATAATTTGATGCAATGGAAAAAAGAAAGCCACACTTTATCTGATATATATAGGACATCTAGATAATTGCAGTGAGGAAGACGTCAGAGAGCATCTATAGAAAGGATGAATGGAACCAGCAAAGAAAGATAATAAAGGACAACAAGGGCACAGATCTGTTTTGAAAGGTGAGATGGGGGAATTTTGTGAATAAAAATTTGAGGATAGTACCTCTCTATATGCCTTGGAATGAACCTTTTCTGTCTCTTATACACATCTAGATGTGTATAAGAGACAGTTTGGGGGAAGATTGGAAGAGTGAGAATGGAAATCACTGGAGTAAGAAGATCCACCATGGTATCTTTCTACTAAATATGAGCCAGACAGACGATAAAAAGATGTATGGCCACTGTCAGTGCTCAAAGGTTGGTTCCCTCCATTTTCAACCATATAAACTGAAGGAGGTCCCCTGAGAGGTTCTGCAGGTGCATTCTGGTTAGACGTGTCTATTGGATGCTATAGAATAAAGAGAAAAAAGACATCAAATAACATTAAAAGCAAATTAACATTTTGAAAAAACCCCAAAGACACATTTTCTTTGTGGATCTCTTTTACAAAGAGTACGTATTTCTGATAGTGCCTTTCTAGATTTTCCACCTTTCTTTTAGTGTCTTTTTGGAAACAGTTTGAGCCCCCATAAATGTCACAACCCAGATCCGCCCCCTGCTAGGGCATTTTGTCATAAAAGTCTGACAAGAACAAAACCATATTGTTACACCATTTAGTAGGGGTAGGGTATTTTTTCATCTCGTACGAGTTCAATATTCCTACTGTACACACACACACACACACCCCCACCCCCCACACACAAACACAAAGAAACACTTAAAATTTCAAATCCCGACCTGTCAAATCCCCTCGCGCTGTCTCTTATACACATCTAGATGTGTATAAGAGACAGATGCAAGGCAATCTACTTCAACATCAGTATACTTTTCGGAAGCATCATCAACTACACTTTCGGTTGATTGCTGACTGTCTAATTCTGGTACAACGTCCTGAGTCTTTGAGACTTTCCCTTCAGGAACGTCATATGAAGGAATGTTTAATGGCTCAGCAGTACCTGGAGGTTTAAGGCATGCACCGGAACAGTCTACCTCAATGCATGGAATTATTTCTACATTGGTATCTAATGTTGGGGAGTGGATATTGAAATAAGTGATTCCACCACTTTCACTGTCTTCGGGGCTTGTAAGTGTTGAGGTTGCTGTGTGGTAACCACTTGAAGTCGATTCAAGAGAAGATTCAATGAGATTATGCTTTGAAATACGATTTAGATTAGGTATGGAAGAAATAATTTCGCTTCGAAATGAAAGGCAATCTACTTCAACTTCAGTACAGTTTTCAGAAGCATCATCTACACTTTTGGTTGATTGCTGACTGTCTAAATTTGGTACAAACTCCTGAGTCCTTGATGCTTTATAGACATCTTCAATTAATAGCTGTTCTTCATTACTGGATGTAATAATGCTTCCAAAACCACTGTCCTCTGATAGAGACAACTTTTTGTGTTGTAGTGTGGAAAGGTACTTATGCTGAATGTCAATGACGGGTAAATTATCTTTGCTTGGCTTGAGTTGGGATGATTTCACTTGTTTGTAAGATTCACAAGAGATAATACAAGTTTCATGATCGATTGTCTTCTGATGTTCCATGACCTTATGAAGATTTTGACACTTCTTTGATGGATTTTGAATGGCAGGTTTGCTGGGTTCTTCAAGAACATCTTGACCGACTGCATCTGCAGTATCAAATTACAATTTCATTTTTATCGTCATTGTTAATTTATAATTAATACTGTCAGTATCATCCTTTAACATTATCATATTACAACAATCTTATTATCATTATCAGTGATTATTTATCACTACTGTATCAACATATTTATCATGTTCATTAGACAAATTTGTATAATCATCTCATCCAAAAAGCTATTTAAGCTGCCATAGTTTCTACTGTACATGTTATCCTTAGACCCCCAATTGTACCCTGCCACTTAACCTCACTGCTGGTTGTGCTGGTTGGAAAATGTAAAGATTTAAGTTTCCAGATGTGTATAAGAGACAGGTCTTTATATATTAATAGCATAATAACGTTAAAATTAAGTAATCCCAAATAATGCTGAATTTCATCAATTCTAGTATCTAAAAATCAAATCTGAAAATAAATACCTGCTCCAGATCATGACGCTCACCATGACAGTAAATACGAACTTCCTGATTTGTCTCACAATCTATAAGCTCATTTGCATAAACTACGATTCTTAAATATCTAGCACTGCATTCTTCCCCTGATGGTAGGGTGATAATGTAGTCGGTGAAATGACCTACAAACAAGTAGGCATACTGATTTTTGAGAAAGAGGACTGGGGAAGATGTGTCACCTTTCTGATTATATTTAACTTGCTTCCAGTGTTTCTTCTGATCTAAAATATAATTTAAAAATACATAACTTTTATTAAACAATTGGAGAAACAAAAAATAATCTTGTAGGCTTAAATCAAAATGTATTGTTTTAACCCTACTGTTAGGAAGTTGTTTGGACATTACAAAAGTTATATGACGTCATAGTAGATTCAGTGTCAGAAATTTGTTGGAGGTAAGGGCATCCTATACCAAAATATGAGTTGATAAATTCAGATCTCAATGGGTCGATTCACAGAAACAAAATCATAAACCTATTCATTTCAAATGTTAGCTGAGTCAAAAGAGATCAAAAACAAACACTGTAAAAAATCATTCTGCCTTGTTGAACAAAGACAAGTGGAAACAAATTGTGGAAAGCACAATGCTGCAAGATGGAACTCATTAAGAAGAAGAGAAAAATAACTGTAAATAGAGTGTATAATTTGATGGACTTACCAGGATCATTTTCATTTGTATACAGATTAATGCACTCCTTCTCATCAATCACTTCCTTAACTGAGTGTGGAAACACAATTAATACAGGCTTCTGAAATTTATAGTGATTAGGAAGGCATGTTATGATTGGAGCTATGCAGCCTTCATCCTTATATTCACCAGGAATATTTAAGTAATTCCGGTCCAAAGCCAGTCCGATCTTGGCATTACTTCCTTTCGGAATCGCATATGGAGGAATGATTAATTGCACACCAGTACCTGGAAGTTTAAGGCATGCACCAGAACAATCTACCTCAATGCCTGGAATTATTTCGGTATTGGTTTCTAATGGAGGGGAGTGGATATTGCAAGCAATGATTCCACCACTTCTTATGTCTTCAGGGCTTGTAAGTATTGAGGTTGAAGTCGATTTAAATACAGAAGTTTCAATGACGTTTGTCTTTGAAATGCAATGTGGATTAGGTATTGAAGAAATAGTTTCACTTTGAAATGCAAGGCAATCTACTTCAACATCAGTATACTTTTCGGAAGCATCATCAACTACACTTTCGGTTGATTGCTGACTGTCTAATTCTGGTACAACGTCCTGAGTCTTTGAGACTTTCCCTTCAGGAACGTCATATGAAGGAATGTTTAATGGCTCAGCAGTACCTGGAGGTTTAAGGCATGCACCGGAACAGTCTACCTCAATGCATGGAATTATTTCTACATTGGTATCTAATGTTGGGGAGTGGATATTGAAATAAGTGATTCCACCACTTTCACTGTCTTCGGGGCTTGTAAGTGTTGAGGTTGCTGTGTGGTAACCACTTGAAGTCGATTCAAGAGAAGATTCAATGAGATTATGCTTTGAAATACGATTTAGATTAGGTATGGAAGAAATAATTTCGCTTCGAAATGAAAGGCAATCTACTTCAACTTCAGTACAGTTTTCAGAAGCATCATCTACACTTTTGGTTGATTGCTGACTGTCTAAATTTGGTACAAACTCCTGAGTCCTTGATGCTTTATAGACATCTTCAATTAATAGCTGTTCTTCATTACTGGATGTAATAATGCTTCCAAAACCACTGTCCTCTGATACAGAAAACTTTTTGTGATGTTGTGTGGAGAGGTACTTACGCCGAATGTCGGTGACGGGTAAATTATCTTTGCTTGGCTTGAGTTGGGATGATTTCACTTGTTTGTAAAATTCACCAGAGCTTATACAAGTTTCATGATCGATTGTCTTCTGATGTTCCATGACCGTATAAAGTTTTTGACACTTCTTTGATGGATTTTGAATGGCAGGTTTGCTGGGTCCTCCAAGACCATCTTGACCGACTGCATCTGCTGTATCAAATTACAAATCCATTTTTATCGACATTGTTAATTTATAATTAATATTGTCAGAATCATCCTTTAACATTATTATATTCAGTGCATTCTTGGTGATGGGAAAGGGGGATATGGGCCACAGTGGCAGATCTAGGATTTACCCCGGTATTCTTAAAACAAACTTTAGTCGTAGTTCGAGCTAAGACTTAAAAATTATGTCATTTCGCATTCTTAGAACGAACTGCGAATAGCACTGCGACTAAATGACATGCAACTAAATGACGCAAACCTCGACTAAAATGATACCTCCGCAAGCCGATTTTTTTAGTCATCCTAGGGTCAGGCTAAATCGCCGACTTGAAATATTTACCCCACTAAAAACATGTTTTTTGTAACTCACAATAAAGTGAAACATATAAAAATGATTGTATACGCAGGTTTGATATATCTTGTGTGTTAAACAAAAGAGACATTAAGTTTAGCTTCCAAAAGGAGAACTTAACATGTTTCTTCCAGCCACATGCGATAGTTCCTGATTTGCACAAAATCCCCTCGCGCTGTGGTCACGTAGCTTCGCCATAACAACAACAAAGATAGCGCCGCTCTCGCTCGGGCTCATCTATAACAGTTCTCCAAAAAAAGCAAATTTTCAGTGACTGTTCAAATTCTCTATAGTAAATGTATTATAAAAAATTAATTATGCGAATGATGATCTATTATGAATTATGAGGAAATACGTTTTTGAACCACAGATGGGAGCTTAATATTCATCCGCATTACCGGATCTCTAAACATTTGTCTGCTAATCAGCTCTTGTCATTGGTTAGTTTGATAGTTGTTGCTTGCCAGTCGTCTTCAGTTGAACTAAAACTAGGACTTGATTTAGTCGTAGTTAAAACTTCGACTACGTTGTTTGTGAATTGAGGTTGAAGTTGAAACTAGCACTAAGTGAAGTACTAGTTCAAAGATCAACTAAAGTTTGTTATAAGTCAATCGTGACGTCATCACTGTAACTCCCAATGTTATTTGCCTATTCCCCAGCGTCCACTAATTTTTCTATTAGTGGACGCTTGGCTTGACTTTTCTTAGGTTCGTGTGCAAAAAAAATTCCTCATTTTTTCGTCACCGCGAAGACATCACGCACCGTGATAAAAATTGAGTTGTAATTGGGAATTACTTTCATAAAACAAGCTTAATTAGAACCCAAAAAAATTTACTTCAAATTCAATATTAAGTATGAACAATTAAGGAATTCATTGAATCCATGACTCTCATAAACACAACAAACTGAACGTTTAATAGGAATATTCTAGACCTATTTTAAAGACTCAAGGAACAAATTTAGATGTAGGCCTATGGCCAGGCAGGAAGCCGTCCAGGCCTCCTACTACTACTAGGCCGTAGCCCTGGCCGTAGCCTAACCTAGATATGAAATTATCGCGCAATTTTACCTGTCTGCATGCAACCAAAAAGGACGTCAGTGATTGTATTCTCTCTCGAATACTGAAATGTTTATTATCAAAATAGCATTACAAACAAGTTCTTTCTAACACAATTACAATAGTTATTCATCGTATCCGTACTGTACTGCTGAAGTGTATTTAATTATTAAACGCGTACTGCATTAGCAAAAATCAGCATACGCACAGCTAAATGTAAATACGCATACGTATACTGATCATATCACTATAGCAACCGATGACTGCTACAACAGTTGGTTATAAAAAACTAAAATTAAAAGACTGCGATTGACTTATAAAGCAATTAGTAGAGCATGCATCGTACACTAAATGGAATATTATTATACTTATGGTTACATTTAATGCATTCAAAAATTTCCTTCGGGCCTTACAAGCCCTCAGGAAATTTTTTCAAGCATTAAACCTAACCTTCGTATAATAATTTTCCTATAGTGTACTATGCGGAGCTCTACTAATTGCTTATTATAAGAATACGGGCGTTAGTAATGGGAGTGGATAATGCGGTGTGAATCACCGAGGGGGTGGGAGGGAGGATGGTTTTGGAGGAAGGAGAAGTCCTCTCCATTTTAGGATTTTTTTTGAATTAGTAGATGGTACACTCTTCAGAAAGTTAAGCTAAAAATAGAAGGTGTATGTTTACCAGAAAAGCCACACGTAACATGTATACATGAGAAGCACACACACTTTTTCATGGTAGCCAAACCCTATTCATCCCGCACAGTTTAGATCTGCCACTGGGCCGGTTGACTCAGATGAGGTGTAGCATCTGAAATCAAACCTAAACTAGAATTTGGCTATTCAAGAACATGGGCTTGCTCAATAAAATATGGTACAAAATATATTACCTATATTGTCGATGTAGAATTTGGTTCACATTTGGTTTCCAAAAGTTTTGCAATATAAACAATATAAAACAAGTACAGCACTACTTCAGAGAGAAGGCACTGTATTACCTGACTCAGTGAAATGAATGGCTTTCAGGTTGGAATGCATATCCATTTGTTTCTCAAGTGGTATGTCTGAAATATTGAAACAAACATAATTGAGCTCACAAACCAATATATAATACAAAGCAATGTTGTACAGTATATTTAATGTAACTTTAATTACGACAAATTGTAAAACTTATAAAAACTGTATTAAGATTACTGGCATCAGCTGTATTATTATAAGCATAAATATTGGAACATTAGTATTATATGTATGCAACGGAGGCTCCAGAATTTTGCTGACAGGGAGTCTGACATGTCTGACAGAGGAGTCCAAAACCAAGGGGCGGACTAGAGCCTTGGTCAGTGTCCCAGAATAAAAATCCCTGGTAGGGTTCATGGGGAGAGTTTTTATGGCTTTATATGGCCCAAATTGTGCATTTAGACCACATTATTAGGGAATTAGCAATCAAAATAACGCTATTTGGATAAACAAATTATTTTTGTTTCTGATCTAACGATCTCGTCGTGACATTGAATGACGGGGTCCAGGCCTGTCCCCAACCCCCCACCAAATTCACTGGCGCCACAACTGTATGTATATAACTATGCTCTAAAAGTCAATTATAATAATATAAAAAATATAGCATATGGTTTTTGTGTCTACTGCCCCCAGTGGGGGCGTAGACACTATGTCATGATGTAGCAAAAGATGGCGGAAAAGGGTAAATCTGGTTTAGGCATAATGGGTACTACTACCACGAGGTAGGGGTGCTCTGAATAGTGTTCAGAACTCAAACAGAATTGCGTTCGAAACTCGAACACGCGTTATAGAGACACAGTACTCGTTGGCCACGAATGCCTTTTACCGTCACTTGAAGGACACTCTCTAGAACATGGTAGTTCTCTTCGTGATCAACAACATAACATGGTAAAAAAACACCAACTTCTTAAATATTATACAAAAAATTATATAAAATTAATGGTATACATTAAAGACTAAATGTTTGAACTGAAATGGTGACTAAATCACCATCAAAATAATCAAAACTTCCTAATATGAGAGATTGCATAATGTTTTCACAACAGAACAAATCCTTTACAAGATTTAAACCCAGGACCCCAAGATTAAAAGGCATGCATACGCAGCTATAGCTTCACTTTAGATTTCCGTGTAATCGGCTAGGCCCGTACTTACTGTTGTGTACAGCGTGCAGTGTTGTATTGTCTTTGTATTTCCCGCTGGGCGGCACTTCCGGGTCGCCTTCCTTTCACTGTGCTTAAGTCTACCGAATTCCAATAGACCGAATTAGCGATCGAAGCTGTTCAGCTATAGAGGGTATTCGAGCCAAAACAAACGCACAAAGATAAGCGATTTACACAGTAATTTAAGAAAATAGCCTTTACTAAAACGTCTCATACACGCGTTGTGTGTAAAGTTGAACATGATTTAAATTAACAGGAACCATTGTTACATGTTTATGAATGTAATGTCTTCTTTTCTCTACGATTGTGTATGCCAAATGTGAAATATAACGAGAATAAATCGTATTATTTTGGGAATAAAATGTACATTGGTTGTGTCTGCCTGTGTTACAGCACGACGACGGCAGCAGCCATGTATTCACTCACAGTGAACCATGGCTTCGGTCGATGAATGTGCTTGTTGCAAAACTCATAAAATGTGTTATACTGTACTTGCAAATTTCAAGAAGAGCTAAGTTATTTAAAATTATTGAATAATGTTCCTAAATTCAAACCAATATCTTTGGCAGACTGCACGGAGCTGAACGTTTACAGTCAGGCCTCACTCAATCATCACATCCAGCCATGTCGCGTTGTCGTACAACAAGTGTCGGGGGCCGAGGCCTAGCCTGTAAAAACTCTACGTATATTTAATTTTACATGAAAATCAAATCAAACGTCTTCTGATGGTTAATCCTTAACCTACCAATGTTTTAAAAAGTATCTTACTGTAATGTATCCATCTCTAATAAACAATGTTTGCTGCCACCTATGTTTTACAATAAATACTGAACTGAGAAAAATGGCAATCGTCTCCTGTCAGTCCGTCGTGTTGTGACATAAAGAGTCATAAAACATTACAAATCTGGCGACGAGGATAAAACTAAGGAAAACAGAAATACAGGAAGTTTCTGTGAGTATTCGTAGATAATTTTTGGAAACATGCCGCAGATAGGCCGAATAAATACATTCGACAATGAAACAGAAGATTGGCCGGCGTATGCGGAACGGCTAGAGGCGTACCTAGAGGCAAACTCGGTACACGACAATAGGAAAGTAGCTACATTGCTGACGGTGATAGGGCCTAAGGCATATGCACTACTCAAAGATCTATGCTCACCGGCACTGCCGAAAACGAAAGCATATGATGAATTAACGAAGATGTTAGACGAACACTTTAATCCTAAACCACTAACAGATTACACAGGGGAGAGTTGTAATGTATCCATCTCCAATAAACAATGTTTGCTGCCACCTATGTTTAACAATAAATACTGAACTGAGAAAAATGGCAATCGTCTCCTGTCAGTCCGTCGTGTTGTGACATAAAGAGTCATAAAACATTACACTTACCCGCATACTTTGGTTTTTTGCTTGTTTTCCTATACCATACATAAACTAGCAACGTTATAGAATAGGACTTTTAGGCTCTGTTTAGAATTTTATACCCACTCGGCCAAATTGTGATGACGTCATCTTTCGTCGCTAATTCGGTCTATTGAACATCGCCACTAAATTTCTTGATACATTCCAAATGGAATACTTTTCTACTGCTATTAGGGTCAGTGGTGTTTAATGCAATCATGTTTACACATAGTTTTATGGCCATGATTGTTGCAGTTATTGGAATTTCATCGGCCTTCATAGTTGATCAAGCCTCCTTCCTAGCACGTAGTAAATTACTTATTTATGGAAAAAAGAAAGTTTATCATAACACACAAAAGGGAAACAAGTGGACGCTACTTTACTTTAATATGTCTTCTTTATTCTGCAATCTTCCGACATTGAATTGAACCCAGGCCCCAGAGTGTATGGGTCATCAATCAACAGCAAGATGCATGGGAATGACAAATTCTGTATATAATGATATTGTTAGCAGTGGTGGATCCAGAGATGTCCAAAAGGGAAGGGGGTGGGGGGAAGAGAAAAAGTGACAACACTGTCCCAGGGTGTGGGGGGGTAGGGCCTGTGAAATTTCTGTGTTCTAGATGCCCGAAAATAACATTTGAGGTGTTCTGGGCTATCATTTGTTTTTCTTTCTTTTCCCTTTTTTACCTCTCAAAAGGTGAGGGGGACAGGGCCGGCAACCCCCCCCCCCCAACAAATCCTCCCTTGGAGTTCCAGTGCGTGCTGGACATGCACTGCATGTGATATGCCAAATTACTCAATCAATTTGTTCGATACACCTACTGTCGATACCCAAAATAGTTTTTAAGCCTTTTCCGACTTATGCTTGTCAATTGACAGTTATCAGTGGACAGTGATATTGGATCACCTACATTTGCCTCTTCTCCAGTCAATGATCGTCAACCAGCAGAACCAAAGGTAAAAAATAAAGGCTCACTGAGGGTTCTTGTAATTAATTTCCAAAGTCTAAATGCCAAAAAAAGACCTTTTGGAACCTTTTAGACTATAGTAACCCAGATATTATCGTAGGATGTGAAACTTGGTTGTCTCTGAGTATCCAAAGTAGCAAGTCATACCACCTGGTTTCGAAACCATAAGGCAAGATAGGTCCGATGGCTATGGTGGTGTTCTCATCACAATAAATTCAGTCAACATATTCCAACTGAAAATTCTGGGAAACTTGTGGCTGAAAAATTGAAGTTAAAAGTACCAACAACCAATCATTGTGTGTGCAATGTATAGGCCCACTAATGTGGAATATGCTGCCAAGAGAGTTCAATGTATTGAAACGATAGCCAGTGAAAACCCATCGTCTACAATCTGGGTCGCTGGTGACATGAACCTACCAGACATTAATTGGACCGATAATTCTATTACCGGTCATCACTACCGGAAAGTGAATAACAAAATCTTCCTGGACACTATCAACAACATCGGCCTCGAACAGCTGGTCGACGAAACAACTCGCGACAATAGTATCCTAGACCTATTTTTCATAAATAGACCAGCTTTTTGGAGTAAATGCAAAGTACAGTAAATCCAGGGATGAGTGATCATGAGGCAGTACTTATTGACTCTGATACTAGGGTACGGCACCAACGACCTACTAAAAGGAAGAATCATTTGTGGAAGAGAGCAGACTTTACAACGATTAAAATAGATGTTAATTCATTCAGTGAACACTTAAAAACCACCTTATGATGCCTCCACTGGGGATTATCACAGGACCAGCAGCGTCACAAGCATGATCACACAGCTCTATTGACCCCCCTCTCCATCATCGCAGAAATGCCAGCAAACTCATAATGATGTACAAGGTACTCAACTCACTAGTTGATATTCCACCGCATCCCTATCTTATTCCACTAACTACCCACACTAGAGGACATAACCTAAGGTTCATCATTCCACCAGCAACTTTACTAGTATACCGACATGCAATTTTCCCCAGTACCATCAGAATTTGGAACATCCTACCAGCACCCTTGGTTACAGCCCCCACTCTTGAATATTTCAAAGGAGGAATGGCTAATAATGTTATCTCTAAGTTGTAGCAAATTTTAGCAGCACTGTACAGCACCTTTTATGTTTTTGTTCTTTCATTCTGGTGGATTTTGTGTTCCTGCACCGCACATGCTCTCAAGTTGCGACAATACTCCTTACGGAAGGATGCAGCTTACAAGAAGAAGAAGGATATGCCAAAGAATAAACTTAATCCTTATTCAAAGAGAATTGAACCCAGGATCCTGGACTCCGAGCAAATAGGATGTAAACACCAACCTCTTACCTTTGTTAGTTAATGATGGGACAAACGTAAACGGAAGGGCATTACTCCAGACACCGTCAGATGGCCGTCGTAGCTGTACAGCAACTTTTACATTGGATGTAATGTTTTCATTCACGTAAGACGGGGTATAAAACATGATATTCTGAAAATATACATTAGATAAAAGTTAGTGAATGTTTGCGTTCAAAGAAATAGTTTTTCCAAGGGGGTCATACTCCTAATCGAATATCTGACACAAATACAAGTGAAATAGTGTGAAGGATAAGTAAGAGATTATATAGCAAACAACAAGTCTTCCATAACAGTGATGGCATTAGAATTTTTTACAGTAAGTAAAATTAAAAATCGATTAAATAAACCTTTAAAACCCCAAAAATTGTCATTGTTTCCGGGACTTCACCCCTTAGACCATTTCCTCACATTTGAAATCCTTATCTGAGAAGATTTGGTTCTGCCAACCGGGCCCTGGGCGAGGAGTGGCTCGAACCAGAAAATATAATATACAAAATACAATAAAATGTCATTCAGTAATCATTTAAATCAAAAGAGATTAAAACCAATATTAAAATATAATATGTACAAATCAAAATTGTGAAAGAAGTAATTCATAGATTATCAATGTAAAAAATAACAGTAAGTTATTTGAGAAAAAATATTGTAAAAAAAACAAACATTTTACTTGGATGGGATTGGATTTATTTGGTGTAAACACCAAGAATAACCCAATCCCATCCAAGTCTAGAAGACTTATTTCCAGTGGGGTCCTTCTGGTGGTGATTAGGCAGTACACCGGGAGACAATCCCCTACTCTTTTCGAAGTGCGTACTGCGTTCTTTAACGTGCACATATGGCCATAAATGCACGCAGGACCAATGGCTAAACGTCTCATCCGAAAGACGGTGCGCTAATGTAACTTGTATTTCAGCCCTCCAGCTGAAACATAAGGAGAGGAAGTGATGGGAATTGAACCGGGAACCTAAAGGTCTACACAGTTGAGCGCACACACAGTGGCTACCACCAGATTAGCTGACTGAACTAAGCTGCTTAACAAGCAACTTAGTAGCATTGTGTACTACAAATTTTGATTATATCTTTGTTTTATTCAGGTATAAAAACGTAAAAACAGTCAGCAGCACATGGCTGAAATGACTGAATTTACAATGATCAATAAATTAAAACATTAACACTTAAAAAACCAAAGCATTTTCACCCAAAAAAGAACAAAATTCAAACAATATCTAATAATATTACAATTCACTTTAAACTAAGCATTTAATTTAAAAAAGAGAGAATTATGTATTATTGAATATAAAAAATTAATTAGATAGAAAATATATAGAAATTATGAGAAGTCCTATAAAGACAATCGACTGTGTTGATCTTTAAAAAAGGAATGAAGAAGATGCACAGTTGGGTGATCGCTTGTTGTATAGTACTTGGCGCCAGGAGCCAACTATTCTATTTGTTTTTTTCAAGGTGTTCTCTTTTGATAGAGAATAGACAATTAATTGGTTTATCCTGGTAAGTATTCACAAAGTGGACATCAGAATGAAAACAAAAGGAAAAAGAAAGAGAGTAGTGGTGTTCACACACCATTTCACATACAACAGTGTAGGACTTAAGATTATCTCTAAATAATTCAAATACTATCTTTAGATATCACACTTGGCCAACTATCTGAAATTCTGAAGGTGAGTATTGTTTTTCTTTTGTAGGACAGGCTTGATGCATTTAGTAATAACAATTTTGGCTTATATAGCGCGCATTATGCTAAAAGCCTCAATGCGCTTAAAACAATAAAAATAAAAATGCTAGGAGAAATTTATATACCAAAGCCACCAGCACTTAAACTACTTTCAAATTCTGTAACTCCAGTGAACCAGTCAAGATTAAAAAATTGTGTTTGCCTTTCTGTACATATTTTTTTCCCCTCTGGACTATTGCTGTATATGACAGATACCAATCAGCAACGTGATTATTAATTTAACATTACAGCATTTAAAAGGGAAGGAGCTGGCTTATATTGTTGCCATATCAAGTTGCATATCACCAGCACTTAAAATTATTCAAGATTCAACAATTTATTTTGCCTTTCTGCAAAAATGTTTTCTGAACTGGACTGTTACTGTATGTGACTGTTACTAATCAGCAACTCGATTATTATTTTAACATTATGGCTTTTCAAATGGATGAAGGCTGGGCTTATATTGTTGCCATGGCAAGTTTTTCAGTAATATTTATCATAAATATTGTAGACAAAAGTTCTGGACTTTACTATCCTTATATGATTGACTACTTTGAAGAATCTGCTGAGAGAGTTGCATTGGCTCTATCATTAATTCCTGTTCTGAAGAAGTTACTAGGTAAATCATTATCTTTTTTAGCTCAGTTGGCTTAAACTGGTGTTAGCCAGGATCAGATCCTCCGTGAAGTTCCTTTCCTTATCAAAGTTTCAATAATTAAATTCATTACCGAATGTTTAGTAAAGCCAGTTTTCCACTAGGCGATTTTATTTGTGCAAATCAATGGTGTCAGTTGGGTTCCTGAGCTCTGATTGGTTGCTCAAATTTTTAGAAACAGTTCGAACTACTAATTTCCCTGAAGCGAAAACTCCAGTAGAAATACGCATGCGCATGAACGATGCTATGATTCGCGCAAATAAATTCGCCTAGGAAAACAGGCTTTACTATTTGTTTAATCTCTATTTAGGCCCATTTGCTGCCTTCTTGATGGAGAGGTTTTCTTGTCGACTTGTTACTATTTTTAGCACTGTAACAATGATGTCCGGATCTCTTTTAATTTATTTTTCATCAAATTTCAACCAACTAATCATAGCATGTGTACTTATTGGTAAGTCAATTTCTATTTCAAACTTTTTTCCAATATTTATTAGATTGAAGACTGTGCTGCTTGGAGAACGTATGTTAGAGGGTTTCAACCGACAGGCTAATCATAGTCTACCGGGCGTTTTAGGGAAACAGTTAGATTAAATTCCTAAGAAATATATTTGGGGAGAGCCTAGAAGAAATCTGATTAACATTTAGACTCAAAAGTGTGTGGCGAAACTATGATCTGAATAGTAGGCGAATGCATTTCCTGTCAATAGCAATGAAATTAACTACAAATTATTTTTCTTATTTAAAAATCAATGAAAAGGCACAGTCAACCAATAAAGGTTGTAATATAAATATGTTTTTATTTAACTATAAAGATTGTTGAATTTTGAAAATACAAAGAACAGGGAAGGAGCAGAGTGAGAGAGAGTGAATTTCAAAAGGTCTGTATGAAATGTAGGGAAAGCAGCAGTTATATCTTAGTCTAACTTCGGGACTGATACAATGATATTGTGGAGTATTTAATAACTGCATGAGTATTAGAGAAAGGTAGCAGAATCTTGATATTTGTAAAACAATAGAGGGAAATAAGACTGCAAGCTATATTAATGAAAGAATTTACAATAATCAGTTTAGCGGAAATATAAAAATAAACAAGAATTTCATTCATTCAATATTTGACTTTGTATATTTCAAAGATTTCCATACCAACAAATAAACAAAATCTAGCTGATGTGCTAATTATTATTATTATTATTATCTGTGTTTTATTATTATTATTAAAACTTTTTACACGGAAGGCTTGTCTCACCCGATGGGTGTTATTCTACAAGGTTGTGTTGTCATTGAGATTGTAAAATAACAGTATAAAAATAATAACACATATCACAATAAAGACAAAATTATATACAAATAGAGACATGAAAAATGAAGCATAAACCACAAATTTTACAAAAGTGTTTTAAATATTGTAGCATTTGATGAATTTGCCACTCTATTTTGTAAGACTTGTAATTTGTTTTTTTTAAATTTGAGTAGATCTACCCCATACTAGACATGGAGTTATTATTATTTTGCACTAGATTACAGTACAGTATTCAAAGTAAGGAGCAATAATGGTTTTGTACATAAGAGATTGTTGATCATTTAATAGAAATTTTAGACGTCCTTTTTCAAATAGCACAAACCCGGCAGAACTTTAGTTTTTACATTATCACTTTCCTTATTCCATGACAAATTTTCATCGATAATAAATAGTAAGAGTCTGGTTATGACATTGCGATTTTTGAAAGTTAGTTTTAAATGCTGGAAATAATTTGGAGCATACTGAAAGAAATTTAGATTTTAGAGATTAAGTTTTTTTACAAGTTGTTCAGTGGCTAACTTTGGTGATGATCCGGAGTAGAATATAGTTTGAGGATCATTTAAAGGGAATTTCTCAGACCTAGATATCTAAAAAATGACAAATGCATCTGAAAACCCTTCTGGAATATTTTGTCATGCCCAGGGAAGAAAACATTAAATTTGGTGACGTTCCAGAGAAGGGTGCACGCGTATGGAAACCCTTAAAACGGAATGTCCCTGACAGATATCTCAAAAACTGATCAACGGATCTGAATGAAACTTTCTAGAACGCATTCGTGGTCTAGATGGTTATGACGTTCGATTTGTAAGCCACAGGTCCCAGTTTTGAATCCTGGTGAAGGTTAAGATATAAGTGTTTTAATTATATTTTTTTCAGAGTGAGAATGTTATATACAGGAAAGAATTGTTTGGCGGAGGTATATACCCTCAAAGTGTGCTCTATTTTTTTTATTATTATGATTTTATTAAAATTCAATAAAACAACATTTTTAAAGGTGCAGATAATCTTGAAAAATTCTAATTTCAGGATATGCAGCATGTTTGGCCAATTTTTCAAGTTATTATATTTTAGATATGTACTTTCAGCGCCATTTTACTTTGGTATTTTCAATACGTACGCTGATAAGAGGAATCGGCTCTACACTAGCAACTCCTATAAATCAGGTAGTTTCACTTATATTTTGTTGAATATATAAAAAAAACATTTGGTTATAGATATTTTTGAATTAAATTTTCTGATTGTAGAAAAATAATAATACACAGATGTTCAAGAGTATTTTATATTTTTCACAATTACGACAATGTTTTGCTTTATGCTAAAGTTACGTTGACCGTGCAATAACTCAAATTATAGTACTGATTTGATATAAAAAAAAAATAAATTGGTACCTGGTAGAAAGTGATTTGGTTTGGAATGAATTTGTACCAAATTACATGTATAATTATGAACTTACAGATTTTGGGGTCATGTTAAAAAATTTGTCTTCTATAACATATTTTATGAACCAAATTGAAACAGTGTTATATCTTTTTAACAGTTCATCGTTATGAGATATGGATGGAAATCATCTTATCTGATTCTCACCGCAGTTTTCTACCAAATGACAGTCTGTGCCACTGTTTTCAGAACTCCTAAAAAAGCGCAGAAGCATGAGCAAAATGACAAAGAAATGCAATTCATTGAACTGAACCCTCCAAAGAAAAAAAAAACCTGGCTAAAGGAAAGACTGGACTACTTACACCAACTTGGCCATTTTTCATTGTTCAATAAAAGCACATTCCTCCTTCTTCTGTTTGCATTATTTCTACAGGGAACAGTTAATGAAGGCATTCTCCTAATTATGACAGATGACCTAAAAGATCGCGGTGCCACTCTACATGCAAGCCAATTTATAGGGACATTCTACGGACTTGGCAATTTGATCGGAGCACCCTTCCATTACGTTTGCAGTAACTTCATATCGAAAAATTTTCTTGTTCATTATGCCCTGTGTCTCTTCACTGCATCACTGTCTTTCTTTGTCTGCATTGCATTTAAGAATGCTGAGTTTGTTCTCTACATTACGATCTTCGTGTATGGTTTTTCAAATGGATGGGAGACTACATTAAAACCGTTAATCATAAAATATCATATTGATTACGATGACTTTGCCTTTGGTCTTGCTTGGGTAAATTTTTCCTATGGTATTAGTGCTTTTGTAGGAAGTCATATTATTGGTAAGTCATTTAAAAATTATTTCTTTTTTTGTTTCTATATTAAGATATAATTTGTATAATGGATAAACCAAGTATATTTCAGGGTACTACAGTATTTTCTGTAAAGTGTTTAAATCAAAGACAGTGGCAAAGAATACATCTTCTACCAAAACAAAATTATTTTTTTCTCTTTAAAATTTTTCCGGGAGTAAATACATTCTAAACATCTCAGGACATAAAATGGCATGAAGATTGGCATTTTCTTAAGGCAGCAGCAGGATTAGCAACTGGATTTCTATCAAGGCTTACTTCAGGACCCTACAGAAATCCCCTGTTGGACCACTTAGTACAAAGTAGGACAAATCCTAGTATCACTGATTTTGGAGGCTATATCAGGTTCTGTAGGAGCAGACATTTTGATAGTTAAAATAGCAATTATATAAATTATCTATCTTGGCCACAAAAAGCAAGCGTCTATCCATATTTTTTTTTTTTTATCATTTTTCTATTGTACAGGTTTCTTCTATCACTGCAATCCACTTTTTGGACTACAGCTTTGGAATTTTTTAAAACTCTTAAAAGTAATTAACTTAAATGCACTTAAAAGTCATTAGTCACAAAAAGTCAAACGATATAATAATATTCAATTCTACAAATTATCTCCAGTTGCAAATCAAGGAATTTGGAATAAAGGTGACCCATGGAGGCACTTTAATAAATTTATGATTTTGACACCTCAAGGTGGCCGGGAATATCATTCTCAGACTTCAATTTGATTATCTTTTTTATCCATTTTTAAAAATAATTTTAAAAAGCTGGTCAGCCCGGGAAGGCTGGGCCTACTACATATGAATCTGTCACTGATCACTACATCAAATTATTACCAATGAATAGAAAATTAAATTTTTAGGATTTGGAATACTGTACTCTTATTCTTCTATTAGGCATGAGCTAGCATTATCTGGAATGCTTTCCAACTTGAAATAATAGAATACCGGTTATCACTCTTGAAATTGACAAAGCCATTTTATTCGATTTTACTTTCTTCTTTTGGCCTTTTGGCTTTAAGTATGCCACTGGCCTTGCCACGGTCCATTCTCTTCCAATTCAGCCTCTCTCAATTGTTATTGAATGAATTAAACTTGAAAAGAAATACATAAAAATTAAAAACAAATTTTAGTTCAGAATACCGAACATCCCAGAGAGCATACATTTCCCTCATCAATAACAAGTTACTCTTCCTCACGAGAACAAAAGAAAGAAAAAAAAAAAGAAAAAAAAAAAGCAAAACTAAACCCCTTATTAGTAGAAACAATATTCTAAGTACAGTTATTCCCTCCCCAAACTATGCTTTTTCCCCTTCCCCTTAAAAACCTAAGCAACATATACATAAAAAATAGTAATGCAGGAAAGAAAAACAACTAAATGAAATTGAAAACAGAGGTGAACGGAATAGCAGTACTATAAAGCAAAGTTAGAGCATGGAATTCAAAATCTCGTTGCGGAATTTCCATGCTCTTTTGGTATATCTTTTGCAAAACTTGTCGAAGATATTTTCATACTTTCTGCTAAGGAGCAACAATGAACAACCCAAAATATGATGTAGTTTTAGGTCATCGTTTGCATTAATAAAGTCTTTTACTTTTTTAGTTAGGCACACAGCACATGCACCAATGACTGTCAATAGCAAATATATCACTGTAGGTGACAATCCCTTTTCACAAGAGAAACACACACACGCAATGCTTTACACAAACTAAATCTCAATATGAGGAAATGGAGTTGTTTTGATAGTGAGAAAAAATCCTGCAACACTGAAATTGAACCAGGACCCTCCAGACTGGAAGGCAAGCATAATAACCACCAAGCTATTAAACTCTACATTGCTGGAGTCTGTTCTGGTACAATGGTCGTTGTAGCATGTGGCCTAGTCAATTTTTAAGTCTTCTTTTAAATTTCATTTGATAGTTTGAATTTCGTTTGAATTACTGTATATTTTTTGGATTGGAAGGTGTTCTTGTTGTGGTTTAGAAAAAACAAATTTAATTTACAATATTATATTCAAACCGGATGAAACTATTCTTCATCTTTTTTAAGAAAATGAGTATTTCACTATTGTGTTTCTGGGAATGTGGCAGCTGGTATATCATGTTAAAATTCTTGATATTATTTTATGTTTAGTACCATAGTACTATTTATCAGTCAATCAATCTATAGTGTGCATACTGTATCTCCAACCTCTGCCTGAATACCAATAATACATGCAGGTTGTTTATGGCTATTCTATCTTTATTATGCTCAATTGGTAACTTTTAGAAATTTCTTTGAACTTCTGTGACCTTAATTTTATCTCTTTCTAGATCAAAATGTACCACTCCATTGAATTTTATGATGATCAATTTATTAGTTTTTGCTTAATCCTGCACACAGACAGTCAACAAAAAATACTTGTCTGTGTGAACTAGCAGTGGCGTTATTAACGCCAAGCAAAATGTCACCTCTGTGGCGTTATTAACACTACCTGCAGATCCCAGATTAGTGAACGCCATGGAACTAACGCCAGTGATGCTTTAATGACTTTGACCTTATTTCAAGCGATTGACCAATCACGATTAGTTCTACAATAGATTTAGATTAGTTACTGTCTTGTGCTCTCTATAATTAAAATGGTAAAGGGAGTTTTTTTCTATTACATGTTTTACTTATTTTACAGTGTATATGATGTGTTGGTTGTGTTTTGTAAGATATTTTAATCTATTTAGACTGTCTATAAAAAACCGCAACACCAACAATTGTTCCACAATGTTAGCTAAAAAATCAGAAGTAAATTTATTGTTCATTTAAAATACAGTAATCATATAATTTATCTTCCAACAATTCACTAGAAAGATATATCTTACTACCGTAGTTAAACACCCTGTACATTATTTAAAACTGAAAACTTTTCCCTTCCCATAGGCCTATATTACTATATTAACGCCAGCGCTAATATAGCAAATGTTGTTTGTGTGGACACAGTTTGGGCTGATGTAAGAAAATGTATGTTTATGACACCTACAGATGTTCAGAAATGGCATTAAGGCTTAATTTTGATTATAATTTTCTTTTTTATCTCCAATTTTTTTTATAATTTTGAAAAACATAGTGGAGAGGGAGGGCCTGGGCCAGTTGGGTCCTCTACCAGGCATAATTGGGTAGCTGGTAGTATCTAATACCAAGTACTGATTCTAGCGGCTTTTGGAATTGTTTTAATATACACAAAATTTCTATGTTCCCAATTTTTTTTTTTATGTTACTTTAAAATGAGAAAGCTAATTTCAAAACTAATTTTTATGATATTTTTGCGTATTTTGTATTGGTACTGGTATAGGCATTGATAATGCATCTCTTTCTTGAGGTTATAAAGTTTGCTGCTGGTAATCAGGCCCTGGACTCCCCTTTTGTAAAGTTAAAAAAAAAGAAAGAAAAATAAATAATTGATCGCCCCAAATGCCTAAGAGGTTTTTTTCGGGCATCTAGAAAACAAAAATTTTTGTGTGGAATGCCTCCGGTCCCCTAGGGTGGTGTTATTCGGATCGTCCCCCACTTTCGCCACCCCCCCCCCCCTTTTTGGACCCCCCCCCCCCCCCCTTTTTGGACATCTGGATCCACCCCTGAATTCATATACTCAGTGGGATTCCATTCTGCTATTCTGCTTGATGTGATAAGAATATTTTAATAATAACAATAATTTACTCCTGGTTGTAAAAAAATTGTAACAAACTTCACTGTGTAGAATAATTAATAATGATTATTAATTGTATAATTTTTAATAAATTTTAGTGTTTTTTTTTAAATTTTGTAATTTGTAATTTTATGGAGCAATGTGATTTCTTGCCTTTTTCTTAATATAATTCTCTTTATTGTTACTAGCTTGCTCTTGTATAATGGGAGCACTCTATGTAGATGGATTCAATAACTCATACAGGTTTTTAAAATTCACTAGTCAAATTCAGGGAATCTGCATTTTAATTGATTTTTGTGTCTAAATTTGCAAATTGTATATTCATATATAAACAGCAGTTCAACTAACCATCAGATAGTACCTACATGCTAAATTTCAGCTTTCTACAAGTGATTTTACTGCTAGTTTACTGTACATGTTTACAAAGCAAACGTGACCTCTGTGACCTCACTTTTCTTATGCCGATGATGACTAGGATTATATTGTTTCTAACAATATAAACAAAAATAGAAAATATAATGAAATATATCATAATAAAATTAAATGGTTTAATTATGTCTAAAAATAAAATTCTTAGTAATATGTGTGTTTATATTATGTTTTGTTTATTTATATAATGTTTTCTTATTTTATATAATTTGTTTTGTTGTATTTGAAGACAGATTTTCATTTTGCTTTTCTTGTAATAAATTATCTTGGAACGATGATAAAAAGGGTAGTGATGAAATTTACTTAATATATATGCGTAACACTAACTTTTGTACTTGCAATTATAAAAAAGAATCAAAATCAATAGATTTTCAGTCTATTTTTTTGAAAATTTAGAAAATTAAAGATTTGATTAACTTATTAATCAACATAATTAACAATTCATATAAAATAAAGGAACAATTATTCAACTCAAAAAAATATTTTAAAAATGCCTGTTTACTGGATAGATCAACAAAAACAAAATAAAAGTATATAATTAATGCTTGCAGTACACCACGTAGATAGTTCTGAAAAGAACTGTTGTTGTTGGTTGAGAATATCTCGACGTTTCGGTTGACTTGCTTCAACCGTCTTCAGGAGAACAATAAATATTGTTGAAGTAAATAAATAAATAAATAAATAAATATTTACTAAGAATTTTATTTTTAGACATAATTAAACAATTTAATTTCATTATGATATATTTCATTATATTTTCTATTTTTGTTTAAAATAAAAGTAGTTGACTCACGTTGCTAAGTACTCCATTTTCCTCAATTTTGGCCTTGGTTTTCCATCCTGTATGTTTCTCAACAAAGTAGACTTCTATATCACCTAAAAATATAAATTCACATTACTTATAATTTGCAAATTTTAATATAAATGTCTTACTTGGCTAAAACCATATATTCTACAAAGGGTCATACAATTCAATTTAACTGGATTAGTAGGATATTATTTGTACATTTTGCATTGAATAAACTATGTATGTATTAGTGAAAATTCTAGTAAAAAATAAATGTATAGAATGTATAAAATAAACGGCCACAACATTGATATATATTTTAAATGCATTATGGAAATATATGTGACACAGTTGAGATGAAATGGGCTCATAGGAGGATTTAAAGGCATCCATCGCACTTAAATTATTGAAAATTAAAAAAAAGTGTAAGAAAAAAAAAAGTTACATTGAACTTCAAATCTGAGAGTACCATTTCCAACATATAGTAACATTTTGCACCTATTTTGCACTATATTTAACATTGAGGTTCCCTCATTAACAGACACCTATCCCCAACCAAAACCAACACAGCTTTGTTCTTAGTCACAGACCAATAAAAAGTGTTCATAATGCAGTGGTTAACCCAGGATTTCCAAAAATGAGCGCGCTGAGTATACTAAATTCTAATTAATATGAAAGAATAAAGCACAAAATCTAGTAAAAGCGATGTATAAATAAAAATCAAGAGTTTTGTACGGACAATGGACATTTCTTCAGGACTGCGTTTCTTGACAAATAAATGCTTGATAATGTACCGGAAAATCAGCTGAAAAGAACATATTAACAAAAAGGAGATCGATATACAAGAAGACCCACATGCAGGGACCGAGCAACACAGTACAAAAAAGAAGGTGGACAAGCATAGGACACAGTCTACCCGGAGATCATGATAACAACTGCATGACAGCAATGACATGGCAGCCATAAGGCAGAAGAAGAAGAGGTAGGCCAAAACAACTTAGACGCGCACTGCAAAGAAAGAGAGAAAGCCGGGTGTCAACATGTAGAGCCAGGGACGGAGAACTTTGGAGGATGAGTGTCACAGCCTTAATGTGCCACATGGTACGAAGCAGACAGGTAATGTACTGGTATAAAGTGAACTTAGTTTGCCATTTACTTCCATTAATTTACAAAATTTGTTTTTCATTTGAACAAAAAGGGAGTGTTCAGGGTACACCTCAGTAAATGAGCTTTGCACAAGCCTCTGACATTTGGTTCACAAAGGTCTTAACACAATAGCACTCGTGTAAAAGAACGATAAAGATACAAATTTTAAAATAATTTAAAATTTGGATTTAAGCACACTGTATGTTAATACATGTCAATTTTGTGTGGTTCCTCTACAAAATAAAAAGAAAAAAAGGTAAATAATTATCAATGCAGCATTTGCATGGTAAAGTATGTGAGGATCTAAGAGTGCACTATTTTTAACTATAAGTATTTCGCATTTACAGGGGAGTTGATTTAACTTTCTTCGGTGACTAGGCTACTGGGCTAGTTTACTGTATATTTCACTAGCCCCTAGGCTATTTTATGAGCTCAATCATCGGCTACCTTTTACATCAGTAAATTTATGTTCTTGGCCATTCAGTCCCCTGTTTAATGGATATGCCACCTAGGATAGTGATTAAGTTTGCTGATTGTCATATCCTTGGCGCTCATGCCTAAAGAAATGAAATGAAAATGAAAGAGTACGTAAAGCAATAGAAATGAAATGAAAATGAAAGAATACGTGAAGCAATAGTTTATAACTGATCACTGGCCCACCGGGCTAGGGGTAGTAATAATGTAGGTTTACTAGCCCAGAGGAGGTTTTACTAGACATTGTATGACAATTACTAAATCGAGCCCTGATTTAGGATTCCTACATTATAGCATCTTATTTTCCATTACCTTCCTTGACAGAATCAACAATAGCAAAGATTATTTCATCTCCTGTTGCCTGACCAATGTCAACACTTAGTTTTGTAAGTTTCAAGTTCATACTTTGTCCTGTTGTAGAAGAACAAAAAATTGTTATTTATTTTCTTATTTTTTTTCTTTATCTATTTCAAATCATAGATGTAGTATTATTCGTCTATTGGTCAAGAATACTGACAACCATGGCTATAATACAACTATGCAATCACTTTCAGGTATTCAATTTCGATACACCATACAGTATGTATCTAAAAAACACTTTCTATCATCACCATCATCCCTATTATCATTTTTACAATGCTCCAACATGCCATAGTTAGGCAAGACTTTTTGAATACCTTTTTTTGCGAGCTTATATTTTTAAAGATTTTTAGAGGGCGGAATAAAAATCAAAATAAACTTTTGTTCTCTTACTAAATAGCAAATAGTTTTGCCAAAAACATCTAAATGGAGGAAAAAATAAAAATGAAATTTTATTGGTGAATGTAAACAGTGTAGAAATGCAACCGAAAGGTCCACTGATTAATCTCAGATAAGATAGTATAATACATCAAAATGCACGCCATCGTGTCAGGATTCAATATTTCAACATTAATTATGTCATCATCAGGAATGATGTGGTTAAATGCTTTCAAATTATATAATTAGGAAGAAATATATATTTTATAATTGGAGATTTCAAGGCAGCATCAGGCATAATAAAAATAAAGAAAAACTTTTTTTTTCTGAAACTTCCATCTTTTTATCGGCGAGCAGCAGGTTCGCTGAACAAGATATACAAATAAGTCCAGCCTTATGTAAAAAAATGACTTTTAATACTGTGAGTAAACAGTGGCTGCTTCTTACGGTACTACAGCAGCTAAAGGCCAACTCAGACAGTGTCGTACGTTAGGGAGCTTTTGATTTTTCGACAACGTGAAGCTTGAACCGAATCACTAATATTTGACTGTCCTACTGGGCGTCCTACGATCTCTGCATACATAGATTTGGCCAAATTGCATTCTAGAATCTAGAGGAAAACTTTTTTCACTTGCATGCGTAGACGACTTTTACTCACGCCATTACGTTCTACGTCCTACCGTCGTCATGCAATCGAAAGGTCAGTGGCATATCTAGGGGAAGGCGTGGGGGCGCACGCCTCCCCCCAAAATTACTTATGCCCCCCCTCCAAAATTCACGGTCAAGTAGTTAAAAATCACCATATTTTGCGAAAGTGCCCCTCAACAGATCATCGAGCCCCCTACATCACCTTCGCGCCCCCATCAGCTCCCCCACCCCCATTTCAAGACTTCCAGATACGCAACTGCGAAAGGTCCCTAATGCAGCCCTACACGACTTATCTTTAGGGATTGAAGTGGGGATTCCCAGGGTATAAGCCCATCCCCACTTCCCTCCCCTCCCACCAAATCAGCTTAATGTTGTATTCAAGGGGTTGGGCTTATACCAGAACAACTACAATAGTAGCACATAACTAGATATGGTTTGTGCTTTTTGATACTACCAGGGGCGGATCCAGAGATGTCCAAAAAGGGGGGGGGGGCAAAAGTTGGGCCAATCGAGACAACACTGTCCTAGGGGGTCCGGCATGCCCCGCGAAATTTTTGTGTTCTAAATGACTGAAAATAACATTTGATTCTTTTCTTTCTTTCTTTTTTTTTTTCCCTTTTCTTTACCCCCCAAAAGGGGGGGGGCGGGGTCGGGCTGGCCCCCCCCCCCCTAAATCCGCCCCTGACTACATACAGTACTACTTATAAAACAATTTGTCTTACCCTCCATAGCAGATATCGAGATCAGCTGACTGACACAGATAGCGTTCACTATGTTTGCTGTTTGGTGTTCTTAGGAACAAGCATGCGACTGCAGTAGTACAGTAAATACTGCAAACAGGAAGAAGTGACTGTGAACCAGGAAGTAGGTAAAACTTGATGAGCAACCTATAATTCTCATTGTTTTTAATACAAAATTTAATTTCATATTGTGTAAATCAATATTAAGTTAATAGTTTTCACTTTCATAGTAGTTGTTGGATTGTTTATTCACAAATTCGCATTACATCAAATTGGGAACACCAGGATAACCCATATATATATATATATATAT